TGTCTTCGAAAGAAGGGACTAGGATCGATCGAGATTTTCTCACGCTTGGAATATCACGTCCTAGTCGACCGACGTCGGTCCGATTCCTGGGAGATCAGCGCCTCAGGGACGGGCGATGTTCGGGTCCACTTTGACGTTTAACCATGCGTACCTATGCTACAACGAACGAGCAAACGCCCTCGGCCGACCTACCTCTGCAAGTGCATTATAAAAGCTTTCGCATGTGGGTCGGTAGCTCGGTAGGGATACACCCCTAAGGGTGGTGACGGCCCCTTAGGGAAGGTAAGTTGTGCCCTGCGAGAACCTGTCCTGTCGTAGGGGACCGCGGGATGTACAGCTAGCGCACTCGGCTGGAGCGGCGAAGGGTCGACGGGGGTTACCGTCTTGTCCCCGAGTTGTCTCTAAAACGTTGAAAGCCTAAGTTTCTCCTGCATGACGCGGTCGGGAGGGCCCTCGCTCGCGAGGGGGCCGATGCGCTCGACAGGTGGCGCCGTTGCCGGGGATAACGACAAACTGCCGTTGTCCCTGGTGGAACAACACTCGGGAATGGAGCAAGTAAAAGATCATGTCGTAATGGTTGTCTAAGACGAAAGGTTAGTAATCTCTGGACCTCTATAAGTGTAAGGAAGGAACCTTAATAGATGCTACCAAACTCCTAGACTGATTTCTTGGGTTTATGTTTTGGTCCCTACATGGCCGCTGTCGCAGGACGTTGCGACAACGATGACGATGGGAGGAATGGCATTCAAGAACTGGCATGGGTCATTCGGCAGTCACAGCGAGAGCCCTACCCTAAGATTGATGTTCCGTTGTTCGACGGGAATCATCCCTCTTCTTGGGCTGACAAGTTCAAACAATTGGGATATAGCAACGAATGGACAGATGAGAAGATGCTTCGCATGGTTAAAAGATACTGTCAGGTGGGGTACCGAGACAAGATCGATGAGCTGGTGCGAATCTCTCATGATTGGTCAGATTGGCACGATTGTTGGAGAAGTACCAGCTCAGCGACCGACTGCTCGACCTGCAAGATTTGAGGGCGGTGGATCATAAAAAGTTTGGTACTACCAAACAGTTTTTATCAGAATTTGAGCGTGTGGCTCGCCTAATCCCGGACCTGTCCGATAAAGATCGCTGCCTCATCTTCCTTGACAACTTCAACGACGTCGAATAGTCGAAATTGGTTGAAGGGATGCAAGGGAGGTATGACTGGACTAAGGTCTGGCAAAATGCGCTGGTGGGGAAGTTCGACGATATTCTCTACCGGTTGTTGAGGCAACAAAAGGAGGAACGGGAAAAGGTGAAGCTGGGAGAGGTGAAGGACGGTGAGATTTATAAAACTTTGACCTGCATGAGAGAGATGATGGAGGGCATGAAGGAGGAAAGGCTAAAGTTCCAAATCATGTTGGCCAAAGAGAAAAATAGTAAGAGGAAGGGGAAAGCGCCGGCGGAAGAAGAAAGTGACAGTGAGAGTGAGGAAGAAAAGGAGCCGCCTCGCAAGTTGACAAAGGCAGAGAGGAAGGTCTTGAATCAAATTCGAGGCGGACAGGGGACTTCCCATAAACAGGGGAAGAACGGTGGACAAAATAATCAAGGAGGGAATGGAGGTGCTAGCGGTGGTTCGTCAGGACAAAATTCTCAGGGTCAAGGGCAGTTCCAGCCGCAGGGTGGAAGAGGCCGTGGTCGAGGCCATGGGAACGGACAGCGAAACCGTTGGGCGTCGCAGCAGGAAGCCACATGTAACTATTGCGCAGAAAAGGGCCATATTATGCGGTTTTGCCAACTCCTTTCAAGAGATGAGAAGGAAGGAATTGTCTTCACCACGATACGAGGTGAAGTCCTTGATTACGAAGGGAACCTGATCGACCCCAACATTGAAGAAGGTATGAGGAAGGAGGCGTTTCGCCGAATGGGTCGTCCGCTGCCGGCGACGTTCTGGGTTGCTTCTCCCGAAGAAGCGCGGCTGGCCGGGGTCGACGAGGCGATGGCCTCGTTATATATTGACGACTCGTCGGCGGAACCAGGAAGAATTAGGGAACAAGTGGTGGAACGAGCGCAAAACATCACGAGGCGGCTTGCCCAATGCCGAGACTCTATCATCCGACTTTGCGTGGGCATAGAGGAATCAGGCCTGGATTGCCGAATGTCTTTCTCTTTGGCGAATGGGGTGATAAAAGGGAAGATGCGTCTGGCCAAGCTGGGACGTCTGCTCCGAGAGAAGCATCGCAAACTGAGCGAATGGTAAGCACGATGCGACGCAGGCCTGTGCTAAAGAGGAGTGCTCCGACTATAGCCGTTCAGACTCGGATGCGACGACGAAACGAGCAGCTTCAGAGGGAAAGAGAGTCTGAAAAGGCAGTGGAAGAAGAGTCCATCCCCATTAGTGAGAACGATGAGGATAACGAGGATGAGAAGTTGCGGGCCGAAGAGGAAGAACGGGCTCGTCGTCGTGCGCTGGAAAGGGGGCTGGAGAAAGGGAAGACCGAAGCAGGCGAGGAGGAACCACGAAAGAAGAAGAACATTTACTCGATCCCCGTGGAGCAGGGGGTCGATATCCAGCGGCTTGTCGATAAGATTCTAGAAAGTCAGCGCGACTTGGTCACGCTGAAGGAAATTTTGGCGGTATCGCCAAAGATTCAGGAAGAGTTTAAACAGCGGATGACTCGCAAGAGAGTCATGATTGTTAAGCTCGGCGAAGTGATTCCGCTGAAGGCTAACTGGTACCCGCCTGAGACAAAGATGGATTGACGAAGTGTGTGGACCGGCCATATTAAGGTCTAGATTGGACAGCAGGAGTATTCGGCACTTGTGGATGATGGAGACGAGATGAACATCATTCGTGAGCGTCATGCCATCGAAGCTGGGTTGAAGATCAACCGAGATGACTATGGGTTTTTGGTGGGGGTTAGCGGATCGACCCCATTTTGCGGGACAACCAGTGGCGTTCTCGTCACGGTCGGAAAGGTCAAACTCCGCTCTTATTTCTATGTGTTACCTAGAGTGGAACACGAGGTGCTTCTGGGAAGGGAGTTCCTATGTCGGTCAAAAAGCATCATCATTAACAAGCATGATGAAACCATGTTTGTAATCCTTTGTGATCCTATCTGCGGTTATTACGAAGTGGTCAAGTGTGCGAACACTGGACCCTATTGCTCGCGGAACCGGCTGAACCCGGAATCCTATAGCTTACCGGAATTATTAAAGTTGAGACGGGAGAAGGAATCGTTAGGGGAGGAGCCAAATGCTCGTGAGTTCTCGTTGACCCTGCCTGATATTGGGCAGGCAATCGATTTTGTGTCGACACATGCGGCGATTGATCCAAATGTGGTGCAGGCATTGACGGAGATCATCACGGACACCGGAAGCGCAGGAACTATGCGCCTTATTTACTCCCCGTCGGAGGGGAATAAGGAAAAAGATAAGAAATTGCCCTCCACTCGAGAGGGTCCTTTTTTAGAGGGCGCAGGCTTGACACCGGCGCCAAACGTAAGTATAAGAAAGTAGGCGTGAACGCGAAGCTGGTACATGTTCTGATCACTTAAGAGGAGGAAGTCTATTATCGTGAGGAGCGCGAGTGGATCAGAAAGATGAAAGAGAGAGGTGAAAATGGCCCATGTCGGTTAACCAAAGAAAGAGTGGAAAGTATGATCATTGGGGAGGAGGACCTCCTCACTGAGTAGGAAAAAGGGTATATCATCGATATATTGAAGGAGGAACATCTCTCCTATGCATACGATGATGATGAGCGGGGAAGGATGGATGTCGATAAAATCCCGATGATCAGAGTTTAAACTGTACCACACGAGCCATGGAATGTAAGAGGGTCACGTTATCCGAATCTGGAGGATCACCGTAAGGTGGTCGCGTATCTCGATGGAAAGATCCGAACAAAGGTTGCAGATTATTCTTACGGGCTGTATGCATCTCCATAGTTCTGTTTCATCAAA